TCAGAAATGACAACCCCGTCAGAACTGACTACTTCCTCAGAAATGACTACCACGTCAGAACTGACTACTTCCTCAGAAATGACTACCACGTCAGAACTGACTACTTCATCAGAAATGACTACCACGTCAGAACTGACTACTTCCTCAGAAATGACTACCACGTCAGAACTGGCACCTTCGTCAGAAATGACTACCACGTCAGAGGAAGTTACGTCGCCAGAATGGGCAACTTTAAAAGAACCGACTACATCTTCTGAACTGACTACGACGTCAGAAATGACTACCACATCAGAAGTGACCACCACATCAGAACTGACTACTTCCTCAGAAATGACTACCACGTCAGAACTGACTACTTCCTCAGAAATGACTACCACATCAGAACTGACTACTTCCTCAGAAATGACTACCACGTCAGAACTGACTACTTCCTCAAAAATGACAACCACGTCAGAAATGACAACTTCGTCAGAAATGACAACCACGTCAGAACTGACTACTTCGTCAGAAATGACTACCACGTCAGAACTGACTACTTCATCAAAAATGACTACCACGTCAGAACTGACTACTTCATCAAAAATGACAACCACTTAAGAACTGACTACTTCTTCAGAAATGAATACCACGTGAGAACTGACGACTTCGTCAGAAGTGACTACCATGTCAGAACAAATTACATCGACAGAATTGCTAACTTCAACAGAACTGACTTCATTTTCAGAACCTACTACGACGTCAGAACCAGCTACTGCGTCAGAGTCAAGCGCCTCATACGAACAGACCCCGACACCACCCGTCTCTCCTTGGGGGCGAAGAAAGAAAAGGAAATAAAAACAAATTGAACAGTTTGCTACCTGTTAAGCCAGCAAAGAGAAACAAATTCGAATAGATGTTAAATTATAATTGCAAACATTCTATGGAAGAGATTTATCATTTAGGTGGAATTTTTCGTAGTATGCGTAGTATGAACATAAAATACATTCAGATAATGGGCATTCAATTTGTTGCATCGTCCTGTTTCGTAACCATGGTTGTTGAAGAAAGAATAATCTAGCTTGAAGCAAAATTTACCCCAATCAAAATTTTAAGCTTCTTGCAAAAACGTTGTCGCAAATTTGCTGCCAATTTTCAAGGAGTTTTACCATGTATATGAAAAACTGTTTTAATTTTGAAAGGACATGAAAAAACTTGCCGCAAATTTCAGATGTTCTAGCAAATTAGCAGCAACAATTTTTCTAACAACAATCTACAAACTATTTAGTTTGCAGCAGTTTGCAGCAAGTTCGCCGCAAACATTTCATTATGAGTATCGCATATTATATTTAGTGTTATAAACTGTATATATTCTCTGAAAAAATGCTTCTACTATGTGTGTGTGGGGGGGGGGGGAGGTTTTTGTGGGGGAAGTGTCAACCTCACCTGGTGAAGACGAGCAGTGTTAAAAACTCTAATATATACCACACAATAAAATATTTTTGTCAGAATCTACTTTGTCAAACATCAATGCTTTGTCTTATTTGCAGTAAATCAAAATCCACGTGAGATCTTGTGTGACATAATACGTGGCACCAACAGCAATCCAAGGGCTATTGGCTTTTCATGCCGAATAGCAACGAGAAAAGAAAATGAGAATCAACAAAAATAAAAGTCTCAAAGCGTGTTTCACGTCTCGAAGCTCACAGTGAATAGTGGTGAAGCGGACAAAGGGGGGCTGAGCATTCAAAGACATTGCGTGTTTTAACTTACCTCCTTTCAGTGAAAAAAGCCTCGTCTGTTTGTATATGACTCAGACGCCTTTGCAACGTTAAGGTGCTGGGTGCTTTATACAACACTGTGGGTAGTCGACTGAAGAAATAGACTGGAAAGTAAGGTAAAGTGTAGTTTTACCTGTGATATATGATAGCCATTATCTAGCCTTACTCAGTACAGACACTCACTTAATGTAGCTTACTTGGGCCGACTGCTACAGGGGCCCAAAAGGGTCTCTCCAGGCTGATTTTTTTATATAAAAATCTGCTTTACTCTGATTACAAAACTCACTGAGTGAGGCACTTGCTCTCTAGCCCATTTTACATTCAATAGTATGAACCAACATAGCATGGTCAAGCCAAGCGAATTTAATAATTAGTTGATTCACGAGCGGGGAAGCTCTGGAAACAGGGTCGGCAGGCGAAATTTAATTCTGGTTTCGTTTTCTCGCCATACTGATGCTTAACAATTCAATTCAATTTATTTCTGTACTGGTACATAGATTATCATGACCTTGTGCAATATAATATTACACCAACATAACCCGCTGAATGTAACGAGCATAAACTACTGAAGAATAAGTAAGGGTCGGTGGGAGAGGAAATGTCAAATCCACAGAATGAATTCAGAGCATAAATACAATAGCATAAAGGGTTTTCTTGGATCTCGTGTAAATTCCTCCCATTCACTCAAACAATTCCCAATGAACTTTTTCCCTTTGAAGAAAAATAAGTGCGAGAAAATTTTCGATTTCCCCCCAAATTAAAGTCGGTTGCGCTTCTTAACCAGCTTATCAATTTCGTCTCGCCTTACGGTGCTCCATAAAAGTATTGCTTCATGCGTGTATTTCAAACTGCAAATTGCAAGCCTTCAACCAGATTCTGCTCAGATGATAAATAAAAAAATATTTTGATTTAGTTGTTTGTAATTAAAACTTTCAGATCAGCTGAATACCGGGAAAAAAGTGAAGAAAGACCTCACAATACACTAACTCAACTGCCTTCACGGACATCAACACAACCCGCATCTTGTTCTAGTATTGTGCGCACCCCGGAGCCACGGAGGCTGCCTTCACCACGCTGAAATAAACACACCAACTGCAATGTCTGAGGGCGGGGAGTTGGGTAATATTGGGGCTGAAGAGAGGGGTGCAGGGGAGGAAGAAGAGAAGGATGAGGCTGTTCAAGATGAGAGTGCCAAGCCGTTAGCGACAGAGGATGGCGAAAAAGTGTCGCCAATACTGGACAGCAACCGCAGAGAAGGGAAAGGCTCCGACTACCGCCGCTTGGTTGTCAATATAATCCTGGCCGTGTCTGTACTGCTTAACGTGGTCTTGATTGTCATCTTGGTTGTGTTGGCATCTAGGGAGTGTGCCCAAGGTGGGATTCAGGGTAAGAGTGAGAGAGAAGGGTTTTTTTTTCATACTTTTATCTATACACGCTGTGGCGTGTCCCACGCCCCCTTGTGATACCTGTCTCGTGAGACTAGTTAAATGTTTCAGTAAGACATGTAAGGTAGAGCTGAATATTAATTGGACTAATGGTGGATAGATTAGAACCTATGACTTAGGACTTAAAAACTTGGGCAGTGGGAATAAAGCTGTTTGGAATTACACGACTGTTGTTGCATGCTCACTTCTTCTCGATCTATTATATAAATCGGACCTTATACCATGGTGCCAGAGGCGACCTTGAATAGTTCTTTTAAACTAGTAGTGACGTTTGTTTAAACCAAATCATGTTTATGAATTACAAAAGTTGTTTTAAATTGAAACAAACCATCTTTCTTCATTATCTTCAAGGGAATGCCGCAGTACAGTTTAACACTACTGTTGCCACGGAAACACCAGTTACACCAAGCACGACTTCTGGCATAGGGCCGCTTACATCAAACAGGACTACACCACCCGTGATAACTTCTACCGTGTCCACGACAGCAGCCGGTCCATAGAGTTGGGGAAGAAGAAAGAAGAAAAAATTATAAAAAATGTGTGTTATCACTACCATCTACCAGGGTGGCAGATATTATAGGCAATTTTTCAAAAAGCCAGAGAATCAAATGATTGTCTATATATCTAAACCCATATCTGTGCATGTCTTGAGAAAAATCAATCTGTCGCCCTGGTAGAGGGTATGTTATCACGGATATGGGAGGTGGTGTAGGCGGCATTCACCCTCCAATTCCCCGTTTATTTTTGGAAATTATTTCAGAGGGATTTTTTTTAAAGTGTCAGCTTTAAAAAGTCAGCTTTTTGTTTCCAGTATTTCATAAATGTCAAATTTTTCCAATCCGTCAGCGTCTTGATAAGTACCATAAACGTTACAAATAATTTGCTTGTATGTACTGTAGGCCTACAACAGCTGATCCCCTCCTCCACCCCACCCCACCTACCCCACATTCAACAGATGACCCCACCCCCACCCCCACCCCCACCCTCACGCATTCTCTTGGCTCTGGGTAGAATGCAGAAAAAGCTGGTGAACATTGGAAACAAGAGGAGTGTCAGTCTGTTGAACTGATTGCATTCAACGGAGTCGGATTATTGGAAATGAATCCATAGATTATATCTTTATGTTTCAGTTATAATACGAAAAGGAATTAAGAATTTTAAGAAGAATGATGTTTGTTTGCACATGGGGATATATGGCGGACACGTCTGTTTTATAAATAAAAAAAATTAATTGTATTTATTTGAAGTAAAGGTATCAATGGTCTCATTTTTTATCATGCCTGAGCAGAACATTCCAATACAAAGTTGAAATAGAAGCTTTTCTTAACAATTATTAGCTAATATATAACAACAATATTAAAATACCCATTTAAATTAGTAAAGCTTTTGCTCAAATTGTTATATGAATGCACATTAAGAAGTTATTCATGAGTTAGGAAAGAATCCCAAAATATCTTTTCTTAAGAGGTTATAGGTCATGGCTTATATTGTCTCTTTGAGCCTCAATTTCAGCTTTGTAAAACGATAGTACATGTAATGCAAAGGGAACAAATATGGTGAGAACTAAAAAATAATAACATAACAGAAATTAAAAACTATTTGACTTGCCACAGATATATGCAGAATTTAGGTTACACACATCATGGACAAGCCACTCCCAATTATAACACCCCTCCCCCAAAAGTATGCTTTTGACACTGCCATATTAAATTGCATATATCTCCATCTTCACAGGGATTTCAGCTAAAAAATTGTATCAACATATTAGCCTGAAATTGATCATTCCAGATCAAATTTCAAAAGTTCTTGTTGTATTGATAACAACCCCAAAGTTGGTATTTTTGGGGGAAATCATTTTTAATTATTTCTGCTGTATATACATTTAACTACTTTATTAAAATATCGTGTTCTAGGATTCTAGTATTTGGTAGGGCAAGTGGGCATGAGTCGTGTCCTAATGAATAGCAGGTCACTGGGTCTTGGTCAAGGTCACTGTTTTCTCTTATATAAAACCATTTGTGAACATACTTAATTGAACTTGTAGAATGCTTGGTCTTTGGGTTATTTTTACTTCGAATGGACAGAAAATTTTAAAGCAATGCATTTTAGATACAAGTGCCTTGGATGGGCACTGGCAATTAACTTTGGCCACTTGGAAGTTAACATGATCTTTTTTTTTTACATTTTTAATAACCGGGATGAATTTGTTTTTGATGCAAGACTTTTCATATGCTAGATTAAATATAAACAGATTTGGTTATATCATATTTATGGGGGCTAAACAACAATAGACCCTTTTTAATTATCAAGATTATTTTTATATCGTCCACGTCACTTTTTGGTGACTATTTATAAGCATAACTTTACAAAATTCTTTCAAATTGTTTATTATGTGTTGCTTCACATGAAAAAATTGTTAAGAATACAAAAATATTATGCAGCAAAATTCTAAGTTCTGAACATTAGTTGTGAACATTACAACCTAGATGATATGGTAATACAAGATGAATATTTGTTCTAAAAGCAAAATTTAAACACACAATAATAAAATATATCCTGGTATTATGAAAAATCTTTGCAGTTTTATAAATATTACAACTCCAGTGTTTTCAGATTTTACTTTATTTACTTATTATACTGGTAAGGGTGAGCCTGACCTACGTGGGCGAGGTTTACCTGTACAAATGAATGGGAAGCGGACTTTCTAACATGGGAGGCTGTCTGTCAAGCTGCACCGGAACAAACTCCTTACGTAGAATGTTCGCAATTGTAATCTAACATCTATTCGAATTTGTTTGTCTTCGATAACTAAACAGGTAGCAAACTGTTCATTTTGTTTTCATTTTTTTTTCTTTCTCCATCCCTAAGGTGAGGGGTCTGATGTCGCGCTGGGCGGTTTTGACAACAGGGTATCATCGTATGAAGTAGTTAAATCTGATGTAATAGTTGGTTCTGATGTCTCAGTTGACTCTGACGTCATAGTTGGTTCTGAAGACGAAATTAGTTCTGTTGAAGTTGCAAATTCAGGCGACGTTATTTCTTCTGACGTGGTAGTCATTTCTGACGTAGTTGTCAGGTCTGACATAGTAGTTGTTTCTGACGTGGTAGTTGGTTCTGCAGAAGATGCCAATTCTGAAGCAGTTGGTTCTGACGTGATAGGTGGTTCTGATGTCTCATTTGGCTCTGACGTCATAGTCGGTTCTAAAGACGTAGTCGGTTCTGAAGGAGATGCCAATTCTGGCAACGTTATTTCTTCTGGCGTGGTAGTCATTTCTGACGTCGTAGTCGGTTCTAACTCTGTGGTTATTTCTGAAATAGTACTACTTGGTTCTGACGTGGTAGTCAGCTCTGAAAAAATAACACAAGCATACAGTAAAGTACACAGCATGGTGCATTCTATAAATCTACTAGAGGTATGGTACATGCAATACACTGTTCAATTTCATTAGGATCCATTCCCACTAAAACTATCGTTCTACGTAGATTGATCCAACTCTGCAGGGATTCTCGGTGAATGATATCAGATTAAAATATTAACATTTCTCTTTTTTACCGCTCGCGCAATCAACAGCTACCCTGTATTCTACTCAACAGCAGGAGGAGGCATTCAGCATTTGCATTCAGCGAGAGTCCCCGCGGAGTTGGATCGTTTCATTCATAAAACGAAAGTTTCTATGAGAATGAGCCTTAAGACTGTTAGAAAGGGATTCATTTGAGAAGACTCACCTTGATTCCTACATGTACAGTTTCGTGCGTTGTATTCAGAAGTAGCCACAATAAATGCGACAACCAAGACAACATTAAGTAAAACAGAAAGAGACAGAAAACCGTAGAGAGCCAGTCGGCGGTATTTAATTCTCTTTTCCGCTTTCTTCGAAGTCCCGAGTTCTGCATACACCCCTTCATTTGTTGGCTTCTGCAGTGCCTCATAGTTGTTAGTCCCAGCATCGTGCACATCATCGTACGCGTCAGACTGTGGCCTCGTGTTCGTATTTGAAGTGACCTTATAACCTGGCTCATACACATGAATATCGGTCATTTCCACGGTTTGTCGCTTGGTGGTTGCCATAATTTTTCTAGAGTTTCACGACAATTTCCCTAACTAGTGTCAGAACTGAACTCAGCTCAGTCAAATTACTAAATAAACTAGAGTGGGGCTCGTTTTTTCGTTTGTTAACTGGGTGCCTTCCCTATTTAGGTTTTCTCCTCAAACACTTCCGGGTTGTTCTTTTCAAGATGTGTTCTGGGTCACAGTTGATATTGTGCCTTTTACTTCGACGAACACCTGAGTTTTATTTAAACCATATACACGGTTCGTTTCATAAAGCACTGTTGCCCCTTTTGGATGTCGCAGGCCCCCAAGATGTCGCTCAATTTTCGCACCACTAGTCTCGTATGACTAGATAAAATCTAAAGTTTATAATCAATAGGTAATGTTTTAATTACATGTAGATATGTAAATTACATTATAATGTTAAGATGGGTAGTAATATTAAGTAGCCGTATAACATAAACATCTCATGCCATCCTTGTTTTTAATACTGCACAATGGTCACCTTTAATCCCATCCATACATTTTAAATTTGTAAAGAAATGTAATTTAATCTGGTCTCTCATTTAACACTCGTTTTCCACAACACAGATTTTATATCGCAACTAACACAACCCTCTGCCTCAAATAACACTAAACTAGCCCACCTTGCTGTAACCGGATAGACACATATCGCAATGGTGGCGACATAACTCTCGAAAAGTTATTGACGACGTAGACCGAGATTCGAACTTGTGGCTTTTGGCTTTCCGTTACCTTGGTTGATGATGGTTTTGGATTTTTTGCAACCAGGTAAGCTACCGACTGGCTCTTAACTAACCAGGCTACCCTCATTACATACATGCTTCCTCTTATAGTTATAAATAGTGATTTTTAAAAATTATTATGGCAAATATGTTACATGTCATAGTCTAGACTGGAACCCTGTCACCAACAGTGCAGAGTTACCACGGAGCCGCAGAAGTTTCGTTGTGACCATTCCCAGACCCTATCGTACTAACAGTGGATCGATCTATCTCCAAGCCCCTGGATTATCCTTGGTGCCTCGTATTTTGTCACGCAAGGTTTAACATGGGCTTTGATATACTGCACATAAGACAAAGCATTTAAAGATATTTATAAAAGCTTGACAAGGTAGATTCTGACAAAAATATTTTATTGTGTTGTGCATAGTCGGAGAGTTTTTAACATGCACTATTCGACTTCACCAGGCGGGGTTATGGACCCTGTATGCCTTCCAGCTCCTACTCCCCTCCCCCACAAAAACCCTGCCCTTCACCCCCTTCCCTTCCACACGCACACATACACAGAGTACTAGTATTCTCTGGCTGCAAAACTGCTGCAAACTAAACAGTTTTCAAGAAATAGTTTGCAGGTTGTTGCAAGAAAAAATGTTGCTGCAAATTTGCAAGAGCATCTAAAGTTTGTGGCAAGTTTTCGTGAAGTCTTCATGCCCTTTCAAATTTAAAACAGGTTTTTTATACATGGTAAAAACTCCTTCTTGAAAATATGCAGCAAATTTGCGGCAACAGTTTGCAAGAAGCATTAAATTCTGCTAGGGGTAAATGTTGCTTCAAGTTAGATGTCGGATATAACAGATTATTTCTTCCTCAACAACCATGGTTAACCATGACGATACAACAACTTGAATGCCCATTATTTAATTGTATTTTACCTCGAATACTACAAAGAAATGTCAACTAAATTATAAACTCCTGACATAGAATGTTGGCAATTGTACTCTAACATCTATTCGAAAATGTTTTGTCTTTGCCAGCTAAGCAGGTAGCAAACTGTTTATTTTGTTTTCATTTTCTTTTCTTTCTTCGTCCCCAAGGAGAGGGGCCTTGTGTTGTTGTGACGGACGTTGCAGTCATGCCGGCTGTTAACACTGATTCTGATGTAGTAGTCAGTTCTGACGTCATAGTCGGTACTGACGTCGGGGTCTGCTCGTACATGAATGAAGTACTTGACTCTGGCATAATAGTTGGTTCTGACGTTGTAGTCGGTTCTGAAGATGGAGTCAATTCTGTTGAAGTTGCCCATTCTGGCGACGTAATTTGTTCTGACGTGGTAGTCATTTCCGACGAAAGTGCCAGTTCTGGCGTCGTATTAGTTTCTGACGTGACAGCCAGCTCTGATGTCGTAGTCATTTTTAATGTAGTCACTTCTGATGCAGTTGTTTCTGATTTCGTCATGAAATTAGCTGTTGGAACAGACGTTTCAGTTGAAATCCCGCTGTATTGGGTCATTTCACTGCGCATCCCATTGAAGGTATCATTTTCTCCTAAAACAAATCAACAGTTTAGCAAAACTATGTTTTTTGTGTGTGCGTGATTTATGAAGTTCCTGTGATTTCAGTGCGAGCAAAAACTATTGATCAGGTAAGTTGCTTACTAGAATACAAATAGTAAATAACAGTAAAACACAAGCACATTATGAACTTTACAGGATGATAACTGCTCAGTGAAAGGCCTATAAATTTACTAGAGGTCTAGCAATATACAAAACTATAACGGCTTATTCCCAATGAAACTATCATTCTACATAGATTGATCCAACTTCGTAGGGAATCTCGTTGAATGATATCAGAGTAACATATTTTAAAACACTTCTCCTCTTCTTTTTAACGTACTCTCGTAATCAACAGCTTTCCTGTATTCTACTCAACAGCAGAAGGAGGCATGTTAATCTGCTAATCTGTTTGCATTCAGCGTGAGTCCCCGCGGAGGTGGATCAACCTACGTTTCATTCATCAAACGAAAGTTGCTATGAGAATGAGCCCCAAGAATGTTAGTGGGGGATTTATTGGAGCAGACTCACCTTGATTTCTACAGTGACATGCGCAGTATTCAGAAGTAGCCACAATAAATGCCACAACCAAGACAACATTGAGTAAAACAGAAAGAGACAGAAAACCGTAGAGAGCCAGCCGGCGGTATTCAATTCTCTTTCCCGGTTTCTTCGAATCATCAAGCTTTGCATACACGTCTTCATTCGTTGGCTTCTGCAGTGCCTCATAGTTGTTAGTCCCAGCATCGTGCACATCATCGTACGCGTCAGACTGTGGCCTCGTGGTCGTATTTGAAGGGACCTCGTAACCTGGTTCATACACATGAATATTGGCCATTTCCACGGTTTGTCGCTTGGTGGTTGCCATAATTTTATTAGAGTTTCCGGCAATTTCCCTAACTAGTTTCAGAACTGCACTCAGCTCCGTCAAAATACTAAATAAACTAGGGCGAGGCTCGTTTTATCGTTTGTTAACTGGGTGCCTTCCCTATTTGCGTATCTCCTCAAATCACTTCCGGGTTGTTCTTTTCAAGATGTGCTCTAGTTCACAGTTGATATTGTGCCATTTACTTTGACGAACACCTAAGTTTTATTTAAACCATATACAGGGTTCGTTTCATAAAGCACTGTTGCCCCTTTTGGATGTCCCAGGCGCCCAAGATGTCGCTCAATTTTTGCACCACTTTTCTTGTGTGACTAGATAAAATCTAAAGTTTATAAGCAATAGGTAATGTTTTAATAAGATATGTAATGTAGAGATGGGTGTTAATATTAAGTGACCGTATAAAATAAACATCTCATATCACCCCTTGTTTTTAATACTGCACAATGGTCACCTCTAATCCGATCCATACATTTTAAATGAGTATAGCCTACGAATGTAATTTAATATGGTGTCTTACTTATCACCCGTTTTCCACACCATAGTTTTTATATCGCAACTAACACATCCCTCTGCCTCAAATAACACTAAACTAGTCCTCCTTGCCGTAACCGGATACACGCGTTGCAATAGTAGCGACGTAACTCTTGAAAAAATTATTGACGGCGCAGACTTAATGATAAAGACCAGCGATAATTTTTTTTTTTTTTTTTTTTTTTTTTTTTTTTTTTTTTTTTTTTTGCAAAAGGTAATTTTTCCCAGACCATGAGAGACTATGGTGAACTGACAAGCTTCATCAGAGATTCGCACTCGTGGCTTTTCGTTACCCTGGTTTATGATGATTTTGGATTTTTTGCAACCACGCAAGCTACCGTAACTGCCCTTTAGCTAACCCGGCTACCCTCCGTACATACATGTTTCTTCTTATAGTAATAAATTGCAATTTTTAAAAATCATTTTGGCAAAAAAAAGTTACACGTCTAGAACTCGAAGCCGACTACAAGTGTGACCATGTCACCAAGAGTGCAGAGTTACCACAGAGCCGCAGAAGCTTCGTTGCTAAGCCTTAGATCAAATAGAAACTTCCTACCTTGTCACGGAGAGGGCCAGTTTGGATATGTATGTACATACAGTATCTGCACTTACAATCGATCTACTCAGACGTGACAACATAAAAAATGAGACCATTTATTTCAAATAAAAAATGCAATTGATTTTTTATTTATAAAACAGACGTGTCCGCCATAAGACCTCAATAAACGTTACAAATAAAATACAATGAACATCCTCCTTGTAAAATAACTTTTAGGCTTAATTTCTTATTCGTGTTATTGCTCAAAATTAAAAAAAAAACTATGGGTTCATTCCCAATGATCCAACTCCGTTAAATGCAATCATTTCAACAGATTAACAGCCATCTTCTTGTTTCCAACGCACCCCTATAATTACCAACTTTTTTCTGTTTTCTACTCAGCGCCAAGAGGAAGCGTGTTAATCTGCTAAACGGATAGCATGCAGCGAGAGTCTCAGCGATCGATATACGTAGAACGATAGTTTCCTTGACAATAAGCCCTATGGCAAAGGTTAAATTTTGTGCTTACAATACATATAAGCAGGTTATTTGTACCGTCTGTGGTACTCATTAACGCTGACAGATGGGAGAAAAATAAGATATTTAGGCCTATATAAATTTGCGGGCGGTGAAAGATGCCACCCAACTCCCCCTCCCCGCTTTCTTCGGTCCTTTGAATATACATGTTTTTATTATCATTTTCTCTTCTTTCTTCTTCCCCAACTCTATGGACCGCCTGCTGTCGTGGGCACGGTAGAAGTTATCACGGGTGGTGTAGTCCTGTTTGATGTAAGCGGCCCTATACCGGAAGTCGAGCGTGGTGTAACTGGTGTTTCCGTGGCAACAGTGCTGTTAAACTGCACTGCGGCATTCCCTTGAAGTCAGTGAAGAAAGATGGTTTGTTTCAATAAAAAACAATTTTTTATTGATAAGCATGAAATTGATTTGAACATCTTAACGTCATTAGTTCTTAAAAAACAAGAACATCGAAATTATAGATCACAATTTTAGATAAGACTAAAGAGTCACTGAATAAGGGCAAAATTTCAGTAGAACCGAAATCCCAAATTTAAAGACCCCATACTTGTAGTGGGTTTCCATGCATTGTTTTAAATACAAAGGCAGAAATAACATCTGGAAATGACGCCGCTTCATAGAAAAGTATTAAAAAAAACTCTCTCTCTCTGTCTCTCTCTCTCTCTCTCTCTCTCTCTCTCTCTTACCCTGTATCCCACCTTGGGCACACTCCCTAGATGCCAACACAACCAAGATGACAATCAAGACCACGTTAAGCAGAACAGACACGGCCAGGATTATATTGACCAGCAAGCGACGGTAGCCGGAGCCTTTCCCTTCTCTGCGGTTGCTGTCCAGTATTGGATCCACCTTCTCACCATCTTCTGTCGCTAACGGCTTGGCACACTCATCTTGAACAGCCTCATCTTTCTCTTCTTCCTCCCCTGCACCCCTCTCTTCAGCCCCAAGTTTACCAAACTCCCCGCCCTCAGACATTGCAGTTGCTGCGTTTATTTCAGCGTGGTGAAGGCGGCCGCCGTGGCCCCGTGGTGTCGGTGTCCGCGAAGGCAGTTGAGTTAGTTTATCTTGAGGTCTTTTTTCACTTTTTTCCTGGTATTCAGCTGACCTGAAAGTTTTAATTACAAACAACTAAATCGAAATATATTTTTATTCACTTATATGTCATCTGTGCAAAATGTTGTTGGAGGCTTGCGATATGCATGCAGTTTTCAACACATGAACTAATCATACAGTTATGGAGCACCGTAAGGTCAGGCGAAATTGATAAGCTGGTTAACGAGCACAACCGACTTTAATTTGGGGAAAATCGGAAATTATCTCGCACTCATTTTCCTTCAAAGGAAAAAAAATTCATTGGGAATTGAGTTTATAGGAGGAATTTACACGAGATCCTAGGGAAAACTTGTGGTGTTGTGTTTATGTTCTAATTCGCCCACACTCTGGATTTGACATATCCTCTCCCGCCGACCCTAAACTTAACTTCAACAGGTTATGCCTGTGTTATATTATATTGTTCAAGGTCATGATAATCTATGCATCAGTACAGAAATAAACTGATTGGATTAAATTATTAAACATCTAAATGACGAGAAATAGAAAGCAAAATTAAATTTGTCTGTCGACCCTGTTTGCAGAGAGTCACCGCTTGTTAATCAACTCATCAAATTCGTCTGGCATAATTATGCTTTGTTAGTTCAAATTGTTGAATGTAAAATGCATGGGTAACAGAGCAAGCTTCTCACTCCGTGAGTTTTGTATTCAGGATCATACTTACGGAGAGTTGGTTGAAGCATATTTTTATTTTAAAAAATCAGCCTAGAGAGACCCTTTTCGGCCCCTGTACATGTAGCAGTCGGCCCATGTATGCTACATTAAGTGAGTGCCTGTACTGGTTAAGGCCAGATAATGGCTATCATGTATCACAGGAAAAAGTTATACTGTACCTTACTTGCTAGTCTTCCTCATCCGTCTACTCCCAGTGTTGTAAAAAAAAAGCACCGAGTACCCGAAGGCTTGCACTGCAAAGGCGTCTGTGTCATATACAAACAGACAAATGATTTTTTCATTGAAAGGAGGTAAACCAACGCACGCAGTCTTTGAATGCTCAGCGCTCTTTGCCCGCATCGCCGCTATTCACAGTGAGCTTCGAGGCGTGAAATACACTTTGACACTTTTATTTTTTGTTGATTCTTATTTTCCGATCTGGTTGCTCTTCAGTTTGAAAAACCAATAACCCTTGGATTATCGTTGGTGACTCGTATTTTGTCACGCAAAGTTTAACATGGGCTTTGATATACTGAACATAAGACAAAGCATTTAAAGATATTCATAAAAGCTTGACAAAGTAGATACTCACAAAAATATTTTATTGTGCTGTATATAGTCGGAGATTTTTTAACACTATTCGTCTTCACCAGGTGGGGTTGACGCATGGCCCGAAATAGCAATATGAGGACCGTGTATACCTTCCAGGTCCTACTCCCCTCCCGCACAAAAAACCTCCCCTTCACCCTCCCCCCCCCCCCCCCCTGCCACACACACACACACACACACACACAGAGTATTAGTATCTCTTGCTGCAAAACTGCTGCAAACTAAACAGTTTTCAAGAAACAGTTTGCATGTTGTTGCAAGAAAAAATGTTGCTGCAAATTTGCAAGAGTATCTACAGTTTGCGGCAAATTTTCGTGAAGTCTTCATATTATTCTATCTTCAACAACCATGGTTAAGATACATGTACATGACGATGCGACAACTTGAATGCCCATTAACTATATGTAATTTTTATCTCGCATACTACTAAAATACCAACTAAATGATAAAATTCTTATATAGAATGTTGGCAATTGTACTCTAACATCTATTCGAAATTGTTTTGTCTTTACTAGCTAAACAGGTAGCAAACTGTTTATTTTTTCATTTTCTTTTCTTTCTTCGTCCCCAAGGAGAGGAGCCGGGTGTTGCCGTCATGCTTGCTGTTAACACTGATTCTGATGTAGTAGTCAGTTCTGACGTCATAGTCGGTACTGACGTCGGGGTCTGCTCGTACATGAATGAAGTACTTGACTCTGGCGTAATAGTTACTTCTGATGTCATAGTTGATTCTGACGTCGTAGTTGGTATTGACGTGCTAGTCGGCCCTGGGCTAGCAGTTGATCCTGACGTCATAGTCGGTTCTGAAGAGGGAGTCAGTTCTGTGAAAGATGCCCATTCTGGCGATGTAATTTGTTCCGAAGTGGTAGTCACTTCTGACCAAGTTATCAATTCTGTCGTAGTAGTTTGTTCTGACGATGTAGTCATTTCTGACGAAGTTATCAGTTCTGTCGTAGTAGTTTGTTCTGACGATGTAGTCATTTCTGACGAAGTTGTCAGTTCTGTCGACGTAGTTTGTTCTGACGATGTAGTCATTTCTGACGAAGTTGTCAGTTCTGTTGCAGTGGTTGGTTTTGACGATGAAGTCATTTCTGACGAAGTTGCCAATTCTGTCATAGTAGTTTGTTCTGACGATGTAGTCATTTCTAACGAAGTTGTCAGTTCTGTCGTAGTAGTTAGTTCTGACGCTGTAGTCATTTCTGACGAAGTTGCCAATTCTGTCGACGTAGTTTGTTCTGACGATGTAGTCATTTCTAACGAAGTTGTCAGTTCTGTCGTAGTAGTTGGTTCTGACGCTGTAGTCATTTCTGACGAAGTTGTCAGTTCTGTTGCAGTGGTTGGTTTTGACGATGTAGTCATTTCTGACGAAGTTGTCAGTTCTGTCGTAGTAGTTGCTTCTGACGTGGTAGTCATTTCTGACGCTGTAGTCATTTCTGAATTAGTACTACTCGGTTCTGGCGTGGTAGTCAGCTCTGATATCGTAGTCATTTTTAATGTAGTCACTTCTGATGCAGTTGTTTCTGATTTCGCCATGACATTAGTTGTAGGAACAGACGTTTCAGTTGAAATTCCGCTGTATTGGGTCATTTCACTGCGGGTCCCATTGAAGGTATCATTTTCTCCTAAAACAGATCAAGAGTTGAGCGAAACTATACATTATCATTTTGTGAATTTATGAAACTGCTGTCGTATTGATTAGTTAAGTTGTTTATTAGAATACAAATAGTAAATAACAATCAAACACAAGCATACTATAAACTTTACAGCATGGTAACTGCTCAGTGAGAGGCCTATAAATCTACTAGAGGTATAGAAATATACATGTAAGGGCTTATTCCCAATGAAGCTTTCGTTCTACGTAGATTGATCCAACTTCGTAGGGAATCTCGTTGAATGATATCAGAGTAACATATTAACACTTCTCTTTTTTAACGTACTCGCGTAAAAGCAGCTTTCCTGTATTCTACTCAACGGCAGAAGGAGGATCAATTTACGTTTCATTCATGAAACGAAAGTTTCATTGGGAATGAGCCTTAAGACTGTTAGGGAGGGATTTATTTGAGCAGACTCACCTTGATTCCTACAGTGACATGCGCAGTATTCAGAAGTAGCCACAATGAATGCCACAACCAAGACAACATTGAGTAAAACAGAAAGGGACAGAAAACCGTAGAGAGCCAGCCGGCGGTAATCAATTTTCTTTCCCGCTTTCTTCGAATCACCGAGCTTTGCATACACCTCTTCATTCGCTGGCTTCTGCAGTGCCTCATAGTTGTTAGTCTCACCAGCGTGTACATCATCGTATGCGTCAGACTGTGGCCTCGTGATCGTATTTGAAAAGACCTCGTAACCTGGCTCATACACTTGGATATCAGTCATTTCTAGGGTTTGTCGCTTGCTGGTTGCCATAATTTTTGTAGACTTTCCTGGCAATTTTTTTTCTTACTAGCGCCAGAACTACACTCAGCTCCGTCAAAATTCTAAATAAACTAGGGTGGGGCTCGTGTTTCTGTTTGTAAACTGGGTGCCTTCCCTGTTTACCTTTTCTTCTTCAATCACTTCCGGGTTGTTCTTTTCAAGATGTGCTCTCAAATGTGATGAACGGGGAGGCTGAATGCACGCAATGAGTTCCGGTTCACAGTTGATCTTACACCCTTTCTTTTCACGAACACCTGAGTTTTATTTAAACCACATACACAGTTCGTTTCATAAAGCACTGGTGCCCCATTAAGCTGTCGCAGGCCCCCCTTAGATGTCGCGTGATGCTCGTGACACGTGACAATATTTTTATTACTGTTGTTATCATTATAATGAAATTTCGTATATAGACTATCGTTGTACAGTGCCAATGAAAAAAGAAATGTCACGGCTAAATAAACTATCAATGTCACTCATCTCGGGAGGCTGGTTAACATCTATAGATTATCATTAATAGGTAATATTTTAATAAGATATGTAATGTAGAGAAGGGTATAAGTAGCACTGGTGGTGGGTAGATCAATTTATAGGTAATATTTTAATAAGATATCTAATGTAGAGAAGGGTATAAATAAGGCTAGTGGTTGGTGGATTAAGATTGGGCAGTGGGAATAAAGATATTTGGAAATTCACGACTCTTGTTGCTTACTTCTCGATCGGTGAATAGAAAATCGAACCTTGAAGGATCGTATTTACTATGTTCGATTAGGACAACATGAAACATTTTAAGATGTCCTTATTCAACCTTGTGAAAAAGGAATTGAATGTCTACATTTACCCTCTACCAGGAACGCATATTAATTAAGTACACTTTTCCTATTGGAGAAAGGTGCCAGTGCCAGTATATCTGTGCAAATATACTGTAGTAAAAAATCAATCTGTGAATACGGAATGTCTTGTTCTCAAAACATCTTCCATGGATTCAAGCGTCGATCTTCATATGTATCATAATATTCAGATGATCAAAAACACCAAAGCTATATTTGTTCAAAGATTTTTTTAATGAAAAATAGTTTAAACTTTCATTTGGTCACTTTCTAGCAGCAGTCATACTTAAAAATTGATGGGGTTGTACCCTGTACCAGGGTTGCAGATACCAGTAATGTTGTGGACTCCCTGACACAGTGCAGAAAAGTCGTATCTAGAGGCAAATCTGTGGTGAATATCTAGTGAAATATCAAACTATAGCCCATGTAGAGGGTACGAGAGGTGAAGGTAAGAAGCAGCAGGTCGCGTTCACGGACAAATACACACCGCTAGACATGATAAACATAGTATTTGTTCAGCAGCACGGTAAAGGTTTTTCGGGGTCATAGTACCAACTGTGAACGTATATATATATATATATATATATATATATATATATATATATATATATATATATATGGAGTGTATTCTCTCTCTATCTCTCTTTCCCTTGCTTTCTCTAATTCCTCGTCTCAATTTTACAGATGACAGAATGACACAGTCAACAATATCGACTTCTTTCCCTCCTCGTTTCCATGATGCAGGGCCCCTGGCGCACATTGACCTGAACACGCTCACAAAAACCAGCTGACGCTTATAAATAGGAAAAGGCCCCTCTTTTGTTGTAATTTCTATACCTTGACATACTCTCAGGTGAATATATGCGGCAAACAAAACACGCGTATCTCAAATTAGAATAAAGCACAAAATAGCGAAGGAGTACGAAATTATTGGATGGGCGTAATAGCGAAGAGGGATTGAAAGACGTAATAGGAAAAGCTGACGGCGATTTTTGAATTTTCAAGGAAATGTACTGCAGATACGTGCTGGTAGGTTTTGTGTTGTGTTGTGTTTGTGTTCGCTCTCGTGTGTGTGTGTGTGTGTGTGTGTGTGTGTGTGTGTTTGTGTGTGTAAGAAAAAGAGGGAGAGAGGTCAAATTGGAAAGAGTCGCTGAATACCTTTACGGTGAAGTATGTTGGGCGGTTTACAGAGGAATTCACTGTTTACTTTAATTTGAGCAATTGTCGCAAATTGACTTTGTCCTTTTTTTTAGCATTTATTTAACCATTTATTTTACATTCAAGAATAAAATATCATTAAACGTTAGATTTTATAACCATTTCAGCACCACACCATGCCGAGGTCACTTGCCGCTATGTTAGTTTTGGTGTCTCTCCTCCACATGTCCCAGGGGCTAGAGGACTGGGAAGAGGGGATATATGACCAGCTCGGGTCCGTCTCTCTCCCGACATCAACCCGTAAGTAACAGTACCTAGAGTGACGCAGAGTTTACAACGTTAAATAGTACTTATAATGCGTAGTTCAGACCCGTTAACGTTGTCAAGGAGGGTAGTTAGTTGGGTGGGTGGTCGGGGGGAGGGGTCAAAAGAAACGCCCTTATGGCCTGAAAAGGCGCACTCCGAATCAAAATTTGTTCTTGGTTCAGTGCCATTTCTCAAGGACAACTAAAAGGAGTAAAAAGGTCCATCTTTTTAGGAAATAGATATCCTCTTTTGAAATTGTTTACTTAAACCCTGAAAATCTATTGTGTTGCGTCTTATTAACAATAGAAAAATACCTGTCAACGAATGTAGACTGTCCTTAACTATGCATAGAATACCCTGATAAAACTGCGCTTCTGGTTAAATATATCTTATATACAGTATTATATGATTGCAACTGGTACAAAGTGCTCAGAGGCGTGGCAGTTAATTATAGGGGCGTCAGTATAGTGTACTTTTTATTGCGTAGTTCTTTATGGGGTGGATTTTATAGGGACAATTTTACGCAGCAGGTTATTTTGACGTACATGTGAATTCTTTAGCGGTAAATTTTACGCAGTAGCTTTTCAATGCAACTTATCCAAATTGCAGAGTTACGTACGTGACGCTTTCCCCTTTAGCTGTACAACATATTCGAAAATACAGTATGAACGGAGATAGGCAGGTTTATTTATAGGAATTAAATTTTAGACTGCTAAAAGAAAATAATTAAAATTTGGTTGAATTTATTTTTATTAGATTACCAAAATACACAAAAATGCATTTATTTTTTGAAAGGACTTCTGATATCATCGTAAAAGTACGTAAAGTACATAAACCACTTCTTGTTAAACTTGTCTGGGGACAAGTATTAGTTTTGATAATTTTTAAACAGATAAATGCCACGAATTAATGCTAATTTAACATCGATGCGTGTCAAACATTTTGACACAGTTTTGAATCGCGCCCAAGCCAAATGTCAGAGCTCGAAGTGATGGCCGAAAAGCACACTCTTTAGCGTGGGTTAAGGACTTTTAAGCTTTTCCAGATTGTTAAAGAGTAATGGTGAGTGTCCGACAAAATGGATCAAAACAAGGTTAGCTGGGAAAAAATACCCTTTACACCAGGAGATTACGTTAAGAATAAGTTTTCCGGGGGAAAACTTTGCACTATGCACCTTTCAACTCTTTTGGAGTGGAGCACTAAACAAAAAAAAAAAATCGAGGCAAATAAAAAAATGATAGAAAGAAAAGAAAAAAACCTTATGCAAGAGGCAACTTCTCCCTGTGCCTGTATTCGAAGCGGTCTAAAATTAGGCTAGGTACTTTGTATTAGACGAGGAATGGTTTGTGGGTAACAGGGCTTGAAGTGTGCTTGACAATGTTGACGTGACGTGCCATTCTGAATACTTGTTTAACTTATATGAATTGGTACGCTGCATGAGCAGACGCATGTCTGAGCATCTGTGAGGGAAACTTTGTGAATTAGAGAAACACTGGCCTGCTCTCCTTACTTGTTTAGGTGTTATAGAAAGAGGGTGCGAATTTTTTGTGGAGAGCCTCCCCTCCCCCCCCCCTTTTTTTTCATTTGAGAACAATTAATAGTTTTTGTCATTGTTTCTTCTTGGATTGGAATGCTACATCTTGGGGTGCGGGGTGTGCGCGGGTTCAGGCCTACTGTGTGAAATTGAATAATAAATGAAACTGATCTTTGTTTTGATGAAAATATAAAAGCACCTACATGTAACACAGGGGTTAATCGTGGAAACGCTCGCTATCCTTTGGACCTTGAATAGTAGTAGTCTAACTAAACGACAAAGTGTTGTGGACCCAGACTACTTTACTACTTACTACATATTGTTATGCTATGCTGCTATGCTATGATATGTTATGTTGTATCTTATAGAAAACGCAGATGCCCAAAAGTACTTCATCTTTGGTGTAAAGCTGGTCATCTCCTTTTGGCACGATTTGGCAGAGGAATCCTTTCGAAAAGCACAGAATTTGGACCCGTCTTTTGGTATGGCCTACTGGGGCGAGGCACTGTGTAAAAAATGGTTTCTTTGGAATAGTGAGTTCCCGGACGACGCCAACGCCATCTTCCGTCGAATGGACGCCAATAATTCGGTGTGGAACCCGCGCGAGGGAACATACGGTCCCGCGCCAAGGACGCCCTCGGAAGACTTGTACATCGACGCTCTCCGCATGCTCTTTCGCAACGCCTCGGCCGGAAACCTCCAACAACGCAACCGACTATTTGCCGATAAAATGAAGCTGTTGTATGACAGGTCTCTTAATGATGACGTGGGGGCCTCGTATTACGCCCTAGCTCTTCTGGAGATCAACCGAGTCGACGAGGCCAGGACGGTGCTGGATGCGGTCCTGCAGAGGTCACCTAACCACCCCGCGGGCCTCCACTTCTCCCTGCACGCCTTCGACTTCCACCACCCCGGGGTGGCCGAGAGGGGTTTAGCTGCCGCGGAGAAGTATCCACAGGTGAGGTCTTGGTCTCAATCCAGCTTATTTATTTATTTATTTATTTATTTATTTATTTATTTATTTTAAGATTCTGACTACTGTTCTACAGGCTAAATTCTTTGTTATCACACATATGGAGTAGAATCCATTCTTAATTTTTCTTTTATTAATTGATTAAATTATTTTATTTATTTCTTTATTTATTTCTTTGTTTCAAATTCAGGTTGTCAAGGTGGCCTCTCATGGCGATCACATGCCGGCTCATATCTTTATTCGTATCGGGTTGTGGCAGGAGGCAGTAGACGCTGACGTTCTGGCACTGAAGGCGGGAGACGATTTCGCCAACGAGAGAAAAAATGGGGACATTACCTATGACAAATGGAACCGGTATCACTCCCTGGAATACCTGCAGTATTACCTGTTACAGGTGAGGGACTGAAAGGTTTATGTGACTTATCTGTTACGTCAAGAGTTTGATCGTCTGCTTCTGAGGCTTTTTTTCGGAATAAAGAGGCATATGCCTACACATTAAATCTTATTATCAATATAAAAGCCAGAAAATTTCTCCCAAAGGAGA